TACTTATTAAGGCCCCTATATGAAGCCCAAAGAAAAAAACCACAAGGCCAACCCCCCAAGTTAAAGCACCAATCGCTTCCCCTCCTGAATCCACCAGTGAGGGGGGACCCTTGACATTGGCCAAGAACTGCCACACTCCAATGCTCCACTCCCCGAGTCGGCTCAAAACCTCTCACGATTCCCCCCCGAAAACCCCAAAGCCTCTAGGGAATGGAGTGACTAAATCCTAAACCCTAAACCCTGAACCCTAAACCCTAAACCCTAAACCCTGAACCCTATAAGCCCTAAACCCTAAACCCTAAACCCAAATCCTAAGCCTAAACCCTCATAGCAACTCCTAGATGCAGAGCGCCCTTCTAGGGCCTCGACTGGCTGGTGGCGGAAGCCCAGCCGGGGGACGCGCTGCTGCTCCACTACTCGGGACACGGGGGCCGAGAGCCAGCAGAGGAGCACTGGGCTGCGCCTTGGGGCTTTTGCGGCTTCAGGGTTTCAGGGCTTATTTTTTTGGGTTTTTGGTGGTTTAGGGTTTAGGGTTTTAGGGTTTAGGACATAAGCAGTTACATCGACCATGCAGCTCCCGCATCATTCCGAAAGTGAGAGTCTTTTTGTACCAGTTTTGTCAAACACCCCCAAACCCTAAACCCTAAAACCCTAAACCCCTAATCCCTAAACCCTATAAACCCTAAACACCTGTGGCATTAGAAGGAGGGCGGCTACCATGAGACCCTGGTGCCCCTGGACTTCGAAACCGCCGGTGGGCAGCTTCAGTGAATGCAGGGGCTCAGTTCCTACTTCGAGGTATAAGGAATGTAGGCGTCTTCGGACATGGTTTGAGGCTTGCGGTGTTCTTAGGAAGTAGTGCAGGAAGGAGTCTGGCTTCGGAACGCTTCGGGGATACGAGTACATATTTGGAGGCGAAGTGTCCTTCGGATTCCAGTGTTTGAAGCTCCGTAAGACTCTAAAGCCCTACACCTCAACCATCAACGGCTAACGCACGAAGAGGCCCTCAAAACCCTAAACCCTAAACCCTAAACCCTAAGCCCCCGACCCCCTGACAGGGATGCTGCGGGACACCGAGCTCTTTGAGCGGCTGGTGAAGCGCTTGCCGGAAGGCTGCCGGCTGACCTGCATCCTGGACAGCTGCCACAGCGCCGGGGCCTTGAATCTGCCTTACATCTTCGTGGGCACCGAGGACTGAAATCCACGAACTTCCGCCCCGGACTCCCGAAACCCTGAACTGAACCTTAAAACCTTAGACCCTAAACCCAGGCCTCACACCCTATAAACCCTATAAGCCCTACTCATCGAAGCCAACGGCCTAAACCCTAAACCCTAAACCCCAAACCCTAAACCCTAAACCCCTAAACCCCGAAACCCTAAACCCTTAAACCCTAAACCCCACTAAACCCTAAACCCTAAACCCCCAAACCCTAAACCCTAAACCCCTAAACCCCAAACCCACTAAACCCTAAACCCCTAAACCCCCAAACCCTAAACCCTAAACCCTAAACC